AACTCTAAAAAATGTTTAACTATTTTTAAAAATTAAAAATGTAATTTGTTTTTATAAGAACTCGCCACTTCAAAAAATTAAATGCTTATAAACACTTGTTACTTATTCTATTTGGAGTATATATTTTTTTAATTTGAATAAAATTTCCAAGCTTTGTTCAGTAAAATAAATTCACTGTTTTCAAATACTCATTAAAATACTCAGATTAGGCATAAACAAATTCCAAAAGTTTTCTTCACCTTACACAAATCAGGAGAAAAAAAATATTTCTTAAGAATTCCAATTGGCAGTTGGGCAAACGTTCCAATTAGAAGCAGCAGTGCAAGAATTAGTTCGAATTGTTGTTGTTCCGCAAATCGGTCTCTGTGGAATGTGATTATGACAACAAAAAGTTTTTTTTTTGTTTTTGTTTTGTTTTCTGTTTTCTTTTCTAACTAATTGTAGAATTGTGTGATAAAAGTGCGTCGACCGGCGCCTCAGGTGCCCGTGCGTAATCCAACCACGGCGCTTACTAAGAACCAAAATGAGAAAAGCAACAACAACAACACCAACAAACAGATTGAAAACAACAGCAGCGAAACGAACGTTGCGATTAATCAAGTGAAAGAGCTGCGAGCAGAGGCAGAGATGGAAGCAGCGGCTAAGACAGGGGCAGAGCAGCAGCAGAACCCGCTGCAGCAGAAGGAGAAGGAGAAGGAGAAAGAGCACCAACAACAACAGCAGCAACAGGAGGAGGAGGAGGAAGAGGAATCCATTTATCAGACCATCTGGCAGTTTAAAACCTTGGAGCCAGTGCCAGATGACAATGAAGGCGAAGAAGAAGAAGAAGACTTTGAGATCATCGCAGCGACCGATGCGACGGCCAGCGATGACGATGCAGACGCTGAATTTTATGCGGATGCCGAGACCGACGCAGACGTCTACGTCGACGCCGATGATATTCAGGCTGAGGAATTGGCGCTGCAAGCGGCGGCGGCATTTGCGGCTGGCGCACGTCACAGGCTGACTAAGCAAACGACGCCGGCGCCGCTGTCGCCGCTGCCGTCGCCAACGGCGTCCATGGATCAAGGCGCCTGGGAGACGGATGACGAGTTTATGTTCGCCAAGGCTGACGAGCAGCAGCAGCGGGAGCAGCAGCAGCGGCAGCAACTGAGAGATCAGCAGAACGCCGAGACGCTTAGCGTGGGCAGCACGGTGACCAACAGCACGGCGACGCTTGGCTCCATCAGCAGTAGGGGCAGCGCTGGCAGCAGCAGCCTCGACAGCAGCGCTGCGACTGCGCCGCAAACACTGACGCATCCGCTGCTGCGCAACATATGCATTTGCTACAGCCTCAAGGAGCCGCAGAAGTATAGCGTTATCTTCTACGACTACGAGCGGGCGCAGCTCCATCAGCATTTCATGACCCGCAGGCGATGTCCGCCACCGCCGCCGCCAGCGAAGTGGGCAGCGCAGCTGACGACGACGTCGCCGGCAATTGGGAACCTGAACAGCAACGATGACAGCGGCTGCAGCTGCGAAGCGGATGCCGACGAGCTGCCCGATCACATACCGCATCCGCTCAAAGAGGATTGGGCCCTGGCCGTGCTCGCTGCCGCAGCGAGCAGCAAACGCGGCGTCGCTGCTCGCGCCGGCCGCAAGCTGCGCGTACGCTCCAGCGGGCGTCTGCTCATACCCACCTCGGTGCTGGCGTGGCGCGAGCAGCTCCAAGATGTCAACTACTGTGAGGATGAGGAGGATATGGTAAGTGTAAACTGACAGTTGCGCCATGACCACGCCCCCACCTCCAGCCCCTGCCGGCAGTCGCCCATTCCAGTGCCCGCATTTCAATGGGAACTGCAATTGCATTGTTTTTCGCTGTGGCCTCATCAATTAAGCCCTGCAAATTGCAAGAGCGACAGATAGAGAGAGAGAGAGAGAGTGAGTGAGGCAAAGAGAGCGTGCGTATATGTGTGTGCTTGTGTGTGTGTGTGTGTGCAACGGTTGTTCCGATTGTTTGTTTGCTTTGACTTTGCGCCGTTCGCTACGGCACGTCTGAGCCGCAGGCCTCGGGTACTTTACAGTTTTTGCGTTTGCATAAAATTTTACGAACAGCAGCAGCGAATGCCAAAAGGGGGCCGAATGCATTTCAAATACTCTCCATCAGCTGGAACGAATATATAGAGAATATAGGAATTCATGATTATTTGATGCATTTTGTTTTTTTGATGCGATCATTAGATCAATTACTTAATTTATTCGAATTTTTGAATACGAAAATGCAGTGCTAACAATAAAAAAAAAAATAAAAATAAA